TTGAAAGTTAATATATATATAAATAAAAAAAGGAGTCATTCTTCCTTCTTCCCAGCTTATTGATGATAAGTTAATATATTGTCAAATCTTGTAGCAACTGGGATAATGGCGCGTAGAAATTCTATAATAATCTCTTATTGATTAGTTGAGAAAACTGTGTCTCACAGGGCAGGAAGGGTAGTCAGTGGCTAATTAACCGCCAATTATTCTTGTTATTAGGTATCAAGAACACAAAAGCTGTTTTTTTTAGGTTGACCCGGATTAACCCGGGTCAACCCATCTGACCCGTGACTCGATCATTTGACCGGGTCAGGTTTCAAAACTATGTATGAAATATTTCTAACATTGACAATACAAAGAAAAAAATAGAGATTAATCTTGTTTGAATTAACCTCTCCTCGTCTAAACTTGGTAAGTCTCTTAAACTCTTTTTTCTATTGAAGTACAAGATATGATGAAGGATGAAAAAAATAAATAGGGAGTCATGCTTATACAGTGGTGAAGTGAACTTCTTACTTGACACATGTTAAGTGTATTTTGTCATTGTCATGATAAGAATTCTATTCTAATAAAAAATCAATTTTCATATATGTATAATGCAAAACTATCTGCTTGTCAAAAAACCATTTCAACCCAATAACTTAAATTATTAGATGAGGTTACAAAATATGATTTATATTATTCTTTCACACCCTTCTTAAATGAAAACTATTTAAGTTTGAAACTTCTATATAATATTTTATGCTAAATTTTTATCAAATAAATGAAAATAATAAGATTCAAACTCATGATTACTTGATTATCAAGATTCTGACATCATATCAAAAAATTAATTTAATCAAATAATTTAAATTTTTTACTAAAATTTTAAAATATAATTTACATTATTTTTTATAACCACATGATACCTATAATACAGATAAAATATAATTTATATTATTTTTTATAACCACATAATACCTATAAGACAAAGCGACAATTCAAGTCCTAACCACATCACCATAATAGCAGCTACTCCACACTTCCTTATGACAATTCACTGGGTTATAGTTGCTTTTAATGCCAAGTTATGGGAACAAAAGTTCGAGTCCAGCCATCGTGCTATAACAAGTGCTCTTTCGAACTTTCTAATTACAAGTCAGAGGGACAATAATTAAGTCACAAGCATGATCTATAACAACTGCTCCACTTTTTAGAGGAACTTTTTGGCATACAAAGTTGTAAGTTTGTCTTTACACCAAGCCTTTTCTGACTTGAAATGACAACTCAGAATAAGACTACAGTTTTTCAACATTTAGTTTAGGCAGCCTTGATGTAATGATCATTTTAGGGCAAACTTCAGTTTTGTCCTTACATCATTGTTCCATTCCTATCCTTATATTTTGAAAATTTTCAATTACATCCTATAGTTTCAAAAAGTTTCAATGTTACTCCTAACTACTACATTTTGAATTTAGTTTGTGTTTTTTCTTTAGTAATTTGAAGTACTTTTATGAGGTATTATAACATTTATGGGGATTTAGAGGAAATCGTGAGATAAAAGTAAGAAAAATTATGGTAAGGATATGAAGAAAAGAGAGCATTATTAAGTTACTTAGTAGTAAAGGGAAAATTGAAGCTTTTAATAGGGGTAAGATTGTGAAGCTTGAAAGTAAGGGTTAGAAGTTGAACAATGATTATAGCACGAATATATAATTCACCAATTTTATTAATAAAAGTTAAACTAGGCAATTCATAATAGTACTTTTGCAAAACCAAGAGAGGTGAGGTATCTTGTTCGAGTTCTCTTTCGCCAATTCATCCCTATGCATTAGAAGCTGCAAAATGTGGTGAAAAAACAATGTTTATACATCTTTCTTTTCCAGCAACATTTATGAGAGTTCACACACCACACGAAGGTAATTCATGACTGAATTACAATTAGGTGAAAAACTTTTATGCTTCTTTCCCCACAAAACACTGATGATGAGAGAGAATGGCTTTCAAAACCTGTGTGGTTTTTCTCCTTTCCCTCTTTGGGTCGGTAAGTCTGCACTTCTGTGCCGACGCTCGACTGTACCTATCAAAGGTGCTCATACTGCGCCTCTCCCCACATTTTTCTTTGTTTTTTCTTTCGTCATGTATTGATCTCTTGTCGTCTTTTTACGATTTTTCTTTGTTTTTACCTTGGTCGTGTATGGACACCTTTTTTTTGGATGCATTCGCCGTACATGTATCCTTTTACAAGTTCATGTTCAGACTTCGAAGACACTGCCGTACAAGATTCTGTCACGTTATTAATGATGGTCACTTTTTATAATGCGGGAAACACTATTTACCTCATGGACTCACTTTGATTGGTTTCATTGGGACTTAATTCATATTATTACATTCAAAACTATGCTAAGTTTTCAGTTTAAGGAGGATGTTTAGGCTGCCCATTCAAGCGTGAAAGCATTTGTTCCTAGATTAAGTGCTGTAGTATATATTGTGTGAAGAAGTGCAATTTAACTATGATACTGTGAGCTGTAACAAAGGAAATTCAGTATATTTACGTCTAGCAAATTACTATAACTCATTTCAGTAACTATGTGTGTACAAGGAGTCATAATTTGTCAGCATTCATACCAACATGCTTCGACTTCTCATCATGTATATATTTTTTTTGCTAGGGCACGTCATTGTTTTCTCAAGCAGCTCCTGCTTTGTTATCCATTGGAAAATCAATGATCTGCATTAATAAAACAGATTATGAAATATATTATAGAACTAGGATATTATAACAGCTACAGCATAGTCAAGTTTGTGGATCTGCGCTGCTTGATTAATCAGCATTAAAGATGGTAGCCACTTTGTATTTTTGCAGTCGATCAAGGGATTTGCATGCCTTCTAGCAACGAATTAAAACAAGCGTTGCAGTACGGGTATGCATGATTTTAAGCATAAGGTTTAATTAGCAAAATTTTAACTCTAGCTTCCCCCAGGAATCATGCTACGCGCAGCTACCTTCATTGCCAGTATAAAATAGAGCTGATGAAACCAAAGGCGAGATTTTAACACTAGCTTATTCCTTTTATCGTTCATCATCTTCGTATAATCATTTTCTGCTTTATCTTTATTACTTGACTGTTCTTCGAAATTTAGACCAGCTGATGTTTCAAGAATTTTATTTGACTGAACTACAGGGGCTCTAAGTAGTGCAATCAAGGTTCTGTTCAGATTTGTTTTCAAGTTTTGCTAGATCTGAGCAACCTTCTTAAAGTTCCCTCATTGCATTAGGGCTACTGCTTTGGTTTTGAATGATTAGCAATCAATTCATATTGTCCCCTTCTGATATTGCCTCAGCACATCTGATGTAGTGAATAAGACGATGTCTTTCATTTATGGTTTGGCATTAGGAGAGATGCAGGCCTTCAATTAATACTCAAGGGTGAGGATTTTTCGAGAGAAGAATGTTGTACTTCATAATAAATCGAGAACGAGTTCTTATCTTGGCTAGAATAACGCATTGAATAAGATGATGTCCTTCCTTGATGGTTTGGCTTGGTTATGTGTTTTGAAATTATAAATGAGTTAAAACTTTGAATCTAGGATCTTAGGAAAGGTATGAAAAAAATATATAGCTTACTCCAAATTCAAGATAATTTTCATTTAGATCTTAGAGTTCATTTCATTTATTTTTCAGTCTCTTTATTAGAGAGAAGAGATAGAAACTTGTTGGAAAATGATGAATAGAATGAAAGGCGTTGGTTTCTTTATTTTTCGACGATGAAACTCACCTTTCTTGGTGTCAACGGGTGTTTGATGGTGGTTGTTTTGAGCCTTCATCTTACCTAGAAAAATAGATCCAGGCAGAGAGAGAAAAACTTTTCCTGAATTGCTTTTGTTTTTTTTGGAAAATTGTGGGTGATTTTTTTTTGGTCTTTTAAGTGGTATTTTTAGATTCTAAAAGTGTTTATTAGTTATTTTAGGGTCGTCTAAGGGTATATAAAGAATGTTGTGGTGTGGAATCAAATCATGTTATATTATATTTTAAATGAATTCTACTTGAGCATGGCTTCTATTTATATTTGATCTCCTTTCCTTTGTTATTTGAATATTTTTGGATTTTCCTCCTTGTTCCTCTTCCTATCCACATTAACATCAAAGAAAATTATGATAACATCAAGCTCAATAAAAGCCATATATTTTTTGGTGATCATCAGGCAGTCAGTAGAAGTTGGGGATCTACTGATTGATTTATAATCGTTTGTCCTAATATTTTCTATTTTCTTGATTAGTTTGTTTCTCCTGTTTTTATTGCAATATTTTCTTTCATTTTTTTTAAACAGTTTTGATGTAGGAAGATTTTTAGAGAAAGTTATTTGTTTACTTAATTTTTTTTCTTTTTATTTAACTTGGGAATATATTTTCCCTTGTGATGTTTTATTCTTTCAATCCATTTTAGAAATTTTGTTTTCTCTTATTGAGTTAGTTTAGGTCAAGAATGAGTATAAATTTAGTTTGTATATAAGAAAATATTCAATAATAAAAATTTTAATCAGGATTTTTTGGTATAGTTAGCTTATGCGATAGAATTGTGTTGTTTTATGTTTGCTATTTTTTTTGTGTTATTTTTATCTATGTTAGTTGGTGTCAAAACCCAATAATTTCTGGAGATTAGTTGTTATATGCATTGAATGACCATGGCTAGAAGAAAAGATTATAAATAAAGATGTGCTATGTAGAAGAGGATAAGGAGGTTTTCCCTCTAGGAAGAGACATTAAGAAATCATTTGTCAATTAATATTTTTTATGCAAATTTAGTATAAAAGGATTAGAGATCTAAATTTATTATACACTCGAAGAGGAGAAAGAAAAGAGATTGAAGAATTTTGATTGAATATCCACGAGATCAAAGCAAGAACAATTTAAACACGAAAACAAGTTCCTTCTCATCCAATCAAGAGGATTTTTGGAGAAAGTTATTTGTTTTGTTAGTTACTTGCATTCCTATTAAGTTTAGGAAAATATTTTTATGTGGTTTTTACTCTTTCAAGTTAGTTTAGATATTTGTTTTTTAATTCAATATGCTTCTAAGGCTAATATAAATTAAGTTGTTTAGTTTGAATTTCAGGAGATTACTTGAAAAAAAAAATTTAGTAAAAAAAATTTTAATAAAATTTTTTTTTGGTCTATGTGTTTTTTATCTTATTATCTTTCTTGTTTTGTTCTGTGTATGTCAAGTTTCTTGGTGAAAGTTACTTTCATCTTCCAAATAAAAAATAAAAAAATCTATGATAGAAAGTTACTTTCATCTTCCAAATAAAAAAAAAAAAAATCTGTTATACTTGGGAATTCCAACCTTCGTATTGCAGGTTCCAATCACAGATGGGTAGGTTAGAGTTGAGGGAACAGGACAGGGATACTTCCTACAGTGTAAGCCAAGGCTTCATTAGCCTTCCAATAAACCAGAAATAAGAAAGAGAACGTGTCAACGCGAAAGCCAATATTGGAGCGCACCTGTCATTCACATCAGACAGGAACAGGACTTTGTTCTAACAATTCTTTCCCAGTGATGCCATCCTTCAAATCTTTAAAATAAATGTCGTAGTCCTTCTCCTGAGGTGGGTTTTCCTGATCTACTGTGAATGGTTCACTGAATGGAATCACACTTTTAACCTGCAAAAGAAGCATATATGAACAATGCTGTCCAAAGCTCTATTCTGGTAAAGCATACAGAAACATGTTTTAGTTCATAACCACAGCATTGATAAACTGAGATCCAAGATGAATAACTGGGATGAAGGTATTCCATGCAAGTAACCATGAAATCATTACAAAAGTTTTCAACTCCAGTGTTGTGAATGAAAGACTTTTCGCTCTGTATTCAAACTTTTTGAAAAGAATTTCTCCATTTCAGGATGATGTGCGATACAGGACACATTTAGCACCAAAAAGAATTAGTGAAGCAATTTGTGGATCTTAATCTAGCATCCAGTAGCTAGACAATTCACATAAGAGAAGTTGGGATAACTTATAATGCAAAGTGTGATATAGTCTGGATCCATTCCTTTAATTTTCTTCATTTTGTCTGATACTTATGTACAGCATTATTCGGAGAAGGACAGTTTTATGTGTTTTAAGTGGAATGACAGAGAATTGATCATAACATATGCATGACAGGGAGAGTACCACCTCAAATGTCTTGTCAAGTGCATACGGGCTTTCCAAAGCTGCAATGCATATCCGAGCAATCTCTTCCCTTGATATTTTACCCTGCATGTATCAGATAAATAGTTATGGGAAGCAAAGCATTGACCACTAATCTATCCTTCAAGTTACAGCTGAAAATTAGAGAGTAGTTCGTTGCAGATAAAAGTACTCCAGTTCAATCATTTGACACAATCATGTAAGGATGTCCAGAAGGAGACAAGTCATTAAAAACATAGAGATTAGTAAGCTTTCGGGAAGAACATAAAACATAGGAATTCCAAGTGCAAGATCTCAGTTTCAAATTATGACATGGGTGGTGGATACAGATTTAGGAGGAGGAGAACTATCCCCGTTTTAGTGCACAAACAGATTCAAAAAATATATAGACAGAAATGAAATGTGAAAATTCTAATCTAGTGCATTACTGTTATATTGTCTCCTTGATCGAAAATGAGATCTGCTCCAGCAGGCTCCTCAGTTAAAGCACAAGGCCTGACAATTGCATATGGGATACCACTTTCACGTATCAAATCTTCTCCCTGTCAAAAAGCTAGCCACTGTGAGAAGGTGAAAAGAACTAAACATAGAATTCTAATTTCTATTTAAGAGGTTGAAATAAAAAGATAATACAAGCTCAATGCACGCTGTTGATGAGGAATTGATGATAGGTGACGAAGATTACTTCAAAAATTGGCTATCTTTTCTTTCGCACTTCATTTTCTAAGCCTCCCTCTTCTTGTTTGCCTCTTTCTCAGAAATCAAACTTTAATTTTTAAAACTGTTTTAAGTGCAATGGATTAATACTTTCCCTAAATTTCCATCTTTTCCAACTCCAAATTCTCTATAAGATGCTAATAAATCAGATCTATTTTCTTCTTCAACTCAATTTATTCTCTTGAGATCTTATGCATCTTTCATCCCTTCTACTCGAATAGAATCATTTTCTGCGCCGCTGCATGCGCATGTGAATATTGTACACAGGCAAACTACTTGAAACAACCTTCTTTCACCTAGCAGTCAATTTCGCCACCTATGGCCTTTCACAAATGTATTTGTTTCTTCTTCTGACTATTCTTTATTTATACAGGTAAAAATGTATGAAGCACGCACTTGCAATAACAATCTACAGAACTGTAATGGCCAGGTTCTTGTCATTTTTTTGTCATGTCTGATCTACACAAATAATAAAGAAATCATTGCAAGGTTCTTTAATTCAGCACAGTGACCAGTCATTGCACAGTGCACACCAATCCATCAGCAGCAGATGGCAATAAAAGGAAGGCTATTTGTGCATAGAGCCTTTCAACAAAATGCTCTGCTAGGAAAACAGGAATCATCTACATCTATATGTGCAGAATGTGATTTCTTCCCTTTATTTTCACTTTAATTAAAACTTCTATCCCCTACAAAGGCACTGCACCCAGGAAGTACACATTTTTCCGTATAATATCAAGTCCTGCTATGTTCAAGAGCTCCTTCTTGTAAATGCACTTCGTGAGCATCAATGCAGTCTTAAATAACTTCAAACTACTAGGTCGATGGTTTGATTCAGTATGCACATGCACGCAAAATTCATTTCTAAACCCATTTGTTCCCATCAACTTCTAAACTCTTATCCGAAATAAATGCATTCAGGATCTCCATCTTTTCCCTTAATATTTACACAAATTCTTGGAATGATTAATTTCTCATTTTTCTAAAACTTTTCAGCAGCTTCACATCAGATTCTTCAATTTTTATTTTCTATATATTGTTAATCTTGTACCTTCTCTTTCCAGGTCCTACAATGGGATAAAGATTTGATCCCATCAACCATTTAAGAAAATCTTTTTTGTTTCAATTCCCAATTCAGATGCAGCAGTCCCAACACTTTGTAAGCATAAGTGGAGTGCCATAATATTAAATAAACTATCAAGCTTTTTCAGGGAATAGAATCTGCAACTGTGTAAGCATCCTGTGTAAAAATGATAACCAACCTTCAACTTGAATGTTAGGATAAAATCTAGTTCCTTGTTCAAGCGGACAGCAGGAGGTTGTTTGCTGAGATCAAGACCAGGCCGATCTGGTCTGGTAACTCCTGCAGAGCTCACGTGTACAAACCTACAAGTGACAGGGCTCAGTGATAGAATTGAATTTTCCAGAAGATCCATTAAATTCAGGTACTTGGAAAGAGAATAAAAGGGAACCAAATGTTAAACCTAGGAGTTACAGGATCCTTTATAAATGTCCTTATGCTTGATACAGGAAGCTGAAATGGGCCTTCTACAAAAGTTGGATTCAATTTCCCATCATATTCAAACTTGCTGAACATAAGCTGAAAAAAAATACAAGTTGAATAACCTGATATAGGAAACTGGTGACGTTGAAAATAACTTTAATTTAATGAAGGACGGATACCTGAAGTGAGACAATGCTCGTTGGATCAAAAGGGGGAGCATCTGATACAGTTCGAGCTCGAAATACAGGGACAAAAGAAGAAAAAGGCAGGCGTATCTGTAAAAGTACTCTGAAATGAGAAGAGAGGTTATTTTATTCAACACGTTCAGATAACAAGGAGTTTTATGAGGTCACATACTGATTGCCATTGACCTTCTGTGGTGTCAAAGCTTGCTGTATAGCCAACAGTGTCCCAATCACGGCTAGTGCGAACAATAAGTTTATACCGACGTCCATCACCTTTAAGGCGTAGCTCCAAACCATCATATGAAGAAAGATCCTCAGGTACTGAAAAATTCTGAAAGGAAGTCCAAGCGGTTTAAATTCTTTAACAAGCTCCACTGACTTAACAGGAATATATCCATCACTATTTCCCACTGATATTTCCATTTTAACCACGATTAGATTAATACCATTGCTTAGCAGAAGTAGAGATTTATATAGCCCACGTATTCTAAAGTTGAAACTTTTCCTGTGTAGAAAAGGCTAATAGTAACAGCACTGAGCAAACCTCAGCCCCTGTCCCCCAGGCATCTTTCCAGAATCATTTCTGTTTCACTTGGTCCCCTAGTAATGATTATGGCGAACAGAAAAAAGTGGAGAAACAGAAGGGTGTTCAGTGTAATTACATCAAATTCATGGACAGTCAATGTTAAAAACTCAACACGAGAAAAATATAAGTTAAAAGAGTCAATAGGAAGACTAGTAGACCCAATAGAGCTGCTGCTTTAAATCTTAGATTAAATATAGATTATCATGTTAAAATCAAACAGTGACATAAATCACTACAGAAAATGGTGAAATAGCAAAAGTGGTCAAGGCACAGCAAAAAGATTATAGCACAACAACAGTGACAATTCAGGATAATATTCTGATAATTACCTTTGTTCTGATACTAGTGAAGCCACCATTGTTTGTAGTGGAGACAACGCCTGATGTGATATAAACATGCCACATGTAAGAGAGGGAAAATATGAAGAGAAAGACATAAATGAACAGTATATTTGAGAAATACTGAATCAAGAAGAGTGTTTAACCACTGACAAACCTTTAAATAGCCCAGCTGGTCCACCTTTTTCCCCTCCAGTAGTATCGATTATAAAAGAGCTTTCACTAACTCCTCCCATCACAACATCATCTAAAGCACCCCAAGCGAGATCTCTAAAACCATTGTCTGAAAAATTCAAGTTGGAGAAGAATCTCATTAACAAAACATTTGTTTATCTAATAAATAATAATGAGATTTGAATTGTACTAAATGTGCATATTTTAGTTTCCACGGATTCAAAGATTAGAGCTCATGCTCACTAGCCACCATATCCAGCACAAATTTTCATGCAGTTTGGTTGAACAGAGAGGATCATGCAACTGGATTTATCGAGTAAATATTCAGCAAAACTTTAGTATTTTTATAAATAGATCAGAAATTTAATATAGAAACATTCATGCTACAAAATTATCATGTCCATGCCAGATGTCATCCACACTGCTTCCTCATGCTGCATGTTCTTGTTTAGCACAAAACACCAAATCCAAACCCTCTCCAAAAAAAGGGAAAAAGAGAAACTAAAAATGAGAAACATTATCATATTTGTTTATTTTGAATCTAACGTGTATGCTACACGATTAGATCATGCCAATATGAGCATAAAAACAGCACCTTCACATCCAAATAGCAGTTTCCCATTTCGAAGGCCAACACTCCCCTTCACAGCATTAATCAAATTTCTCATCCCAACAAACTCCACCATTTCAGGTGAATCGCCTTTAATCTGGCTTCATCAATAAAACAAAACCATGCAGCCAAGCAGCCACACATTTGTTAGCAGCACAAGTTCAACACATACAACATATATAAATGGGAAAGCAAAGGAAGATTTGAAATGAACTCAACACAGATGTTAATCAGCACATACCTCTGGCTCGAAGAACTTGATTCCCTGCACCACATTAAAATTGAAAGTCAAATGCGAATCATAAAAGGAGAGACTAAAGATGGTTGAAACTAAATACTTAGATAAGCAAAGAGCATGAATAATCATCACGTAAACAATATTCAATACCATACTTGACTATATTTTGCCCTTTCTGGGGTGTCGCCTTCCTTTGGGCCAACAATGACAGAAGCAGCATTTATAACTTTCCTCACTCCTTTGAAGTACTCAGGCAACAAAGTGCTCTCTTTAGTAATGTCTCCAATGATCTGACAACTCAAGAAAGAAAGTAAGAAGTAAAGAGAGCAATTACAGAGCAAGGAACAGAGAAAAGATTTGGGTTTTATGAAGTTTAGATATTAGATGCAATTATATAGTGTCAACATTCCACCAAGCAGTAAAATCAGAGAACCAGTCATCTTACACCTTAAGAAAGATCGCAACTCATGCACAAAGTTTTCAACACAAAAATAACATTCCATTCGAATATAAAATGCAGCTTCTGATTCTACATTACATGGTTTGAAGCAAGCATACCTTCCCTAATGCTTAAAGATCAGTCTCTCTCGCCATTCTTGCACATCAAATGTTTCTCTTACATCATATTCATTATTTGGTGTATCAGGTAGGATCTAATTATTAGAAGAGCAAATGTTCTAAAGCTTTTGATTTCTTAAATTTCATGATCATTAAGCATTCCAATCAAAAAAGATATCCTAAAACACATTTTGGAGGCAAATATTTGATAAGTAGAATCACGATTCTTATAATCAGGATATGGTCTTGAAGGCAGTCAACTCACCAAGTCAATATCTGGTCCTAGCATCTTTCTTGCCTTTTCTTCATTTCTGGCCTGAGAGAAGTTTGGCACAAAAACATACATAAATGGAAGGAAACATAATCTGTTTCTTTGTCTTCTCTATTCATAGATGTTCCCAAAAGAAACTGGGATGAGTTAAGTCAGGAACTAAAAAATGAATAAACAAGGTGAAAGCATTATACCAATACTCGGACAGGCAGTCCCTTCTTCTGTAAGACGTCAACTACCCTTCTGCCAACACCACCTGTTGCTCCCACAACTAGGACAATACCAGAACTTTCCATTGACTTTTTGGGTTCGCTGGGTGATGGACTGGATAGTTTCTCAATTAAAAACTCGAAGAACTTCATAGATAATGAGTTACTGTTAGTTGAGAATTTAATTTCTTGGTTTGATGAGATAAAAACTCCAATAGAAAACTAAATCCAAACCTTGGTTGGAGATGGCGGTCCGTTGAAGAAATACAACGTTTTCAAAAACCTGCCCAAGTCCCAGCCCTGCTTTCCAGCTTCCGCTAATATGGGGCCCCTGTAAGTTCTATGAGCTGATTTTTGTCTAAACTGCAGTCTATCATCAAGTTGAAAGAATGGTTTGGGAGGTGGAGAGGACAGCAACCAAGGATGAACTGAATTTTTAGAAAATTTGTTACAAACAAGTGATGAAGAACCCTGAAATGTCAGTTAATTATGTTATAGAAGTGACTCGAAATTTTCAATCCAAAGACAATCACAACAAAAAGGACAAAATCTTGCCATGTTGATGCTGCAACTTCCGTTCAATAACCATAAAAACCACAATCAAGATGAGTTTGTACATAGTTTTACACAATTCATTAACTCATCACTACTATCATTATTACTTATATATTCAAGAGGAAGCAGCAATTACTGATTACCTAAGAATCCAACATAACTTTCCACTACAAAGCTAATGAACATAAATTAGAAACTCCAATTTTCTAAAAGCTAGATTAGACCCTTCCAGTAAGAAAATGACGATCAAGAATATCAATAGAATTAAAGGGATTGCTTATGAGGCTCAAGTTAACTAAAACACATGCAAAAACAAATCAAGAATCATATGATCAAGTGGGATACATTTATAAGAACAACACCACAAACATTGTATTGTGTCATCGTACCTGAAGGTTGAGGATAGAAGAAGTGCAGGGAGAACACAGTTTAGTAGGGTTAAAGCACTCCATTTGTTTAGTGGTAGAAACAGGACAGTTTCACAGAAGTTCGTAGAAGGTTTATGGTCGTGGTTTGTTGATTTTCCTGTTGTCTGTAGTATTACAGGGCGTAATATCCGCCACTCACTTCCACTTCGGCAAATTCAACCGTCCGTTTTAGAAGTTGAAAAAGGCAACATTTATTCTTTAATGGGCTGCATCAGTCACCGTGGGCTTTTGTTTGACTCACTATGGTTACCTAGGCCTAATTGATTTTCTGACAATTTGTAGGCTCAGAAGTAAGCTCCTATGTGCACAGATATTGATCTAGTATGCGAAGAAAAAGCAATGCTAAGCTTGGCCCAGCTAACCTCATTGTCATGTAAATTGTGGATAAATAAAACAGAAGAGTTTTGAATTTGGAACTGGATGCCTATATCTTATTTTATGTTTTTTAAGAATTACTAAAGGTATATTCTATATTTTTGGGCTAAGAATTGAACTCAGATATATTTGAACTTGGAAAATTGTTAAATTTATTATCTTTAAACTCATTTAAGTTCTAAGTTCAGCATGAATGAGTCCAGTAATTATCAAATTTATCATTTTTAAACTTAATTAAGTGTTGGGTTTGTGTTCCTTTACTCTAAAAATTCTAAACTCTATGATTAGACTATATATTAGACGAATCAAAGATATTTTACTTACATTTTTAACTTATTTCCTTAAAAATAAAAAATAAAATTATAAATCTTTTAATTTTTTCAACTTCTTATTTCTTATCATATTCTAAAAATTCTTTTCTCAAATATAATTGCATTTTCTCATGGTGGGAGACACGGGCTCTTGATTTTATAACTAATTGATGCTTAATATATATTGAGATTATATATTTACCATAAAAAAGTAAAAAATAAAAAATGGATGCAAATGCAAATTAAAACATTTACAACGTGATGAAGATTTGAAGATTTTGCTTTGTATGTCTTTTAATTACTTGCTTTTTCAGAAAGATTGCCTACTGGCCACCAAATTTGACCCCAAAACAAGCTACTGCCCTCAAAAAAGCTGATTCACTCGTATTCTTTGTTTCTCACATAAGCCACAAATTCATTCTCAGAACCCTCTCATCAGAAATCCATAGACAGTATATGATCTAATTGCAGCATAATCATAGTTTTTATAATCAATTAGCCATTATATTATATTTTATTTATTCGATTAATTAATCTCTTCAGAAACACAATTGTTCAGGTAGCTTAATTGCCTGAGTTTGATCTTATTTATGATCTTTAATTAAAACCAATGCCTAACTAGTGGTGTTTTACCATAAGTCAAAGCATGTCACGTAAATGAAAGACCAAATCCATTATTTTTCCTTTTCTTGAACCGACAGATCAAATTGATGATTCATTATTACTCATCACACGAGATGTCCATCTAGTCAATGAGGATCACCTTTTAGACTATGCGGGTGTAGGGATTATAGTTATTTTTTTATTAAAATTATATTAAAAAATATTTTAAATATTATCAAACCAATTTAAAAACATAAAAAGTTAAATTTTTAAATACAATTACAAATTGCTCATTAAACATCATATGTATAGTTTTTTTTTTCTTCCATTTATGTGGAATATTTCTGTCTCTGATCTTGTTCAAAATTCAGTGATAACATTGGGTAACTCCTGTCTGGAAGCAGACACCTGATCTGTTGACATGGATGAATAATTCGAGCGCTCTTTATAGACATTTGGCCCTGCTAGTGTTTCTATATTATTCGACCATTGCCGACAATTTAGCTAGCCAATCCCGCACACAATGCGACCTTATAATTTTCCCTAGCTTGATTAACAAAGGAAGGGTTTTTTTTCACATCGTGTTAGCAATTTCTATGTACTTTTTAGGTAATTGAGTCAATAATTTCAATTTTGAACCGACAGTTTGTCATGTGCTTACGTTCAAGAGGGTTAGTAAAAGCTAGTCAGGACGGTACTCACAGCACCTAATATTAATTTCTATGTATATATATAAGAGACGGCAAACACCTTTCACAATGTAGCTATAAATCTAGCTAGAGATTTTTATTTTTTGTTTTAAGAAAAGATAATGACTTTGTTTTATATTTCAATAAAAAAACTCAATTCATTAATAATAAATTTGCTTCAGCGCTGAAGCAATCGATCGGCGATAAAACATGCAAAGTGATATACTTGCATGTTCAAGCCATTCTCAAATGTTGGATAGAGATCATGAGGGTAAACCAGCAAGAAAAAGAAGGCAATAGAGTCCTACACACACACTCAATAAGAAAAGAGTCGACCCAACCATCTAGGTGGTGGCCAAGTAATAAAAACTTGAAACTAAGGGGTTTACTTCCTCTGTGGTCTCAGGTTCGAGTCCTTAGTTGTTCATATGATGGCCACTAGAGGCTTACATGATCGTTAACTTCAGGGCCCGTGGGATTAGTCGTGGTGCGCGTAAGCTAACCCGAACACCAACGTTAATCTAAAAAAAAAAGAGTTGACCCATAAGAATTCTGTCATAAGTAATCGCTCTCATAATTTTTTTTGGGTAAAATAAATGTTCGAATAAGTTTAAACATATCTTAATTAATCTTTTAAGATTTTAAAATTAATAATTATAAATGCCTTTAATAACTCTAAAATTTAAAACACTTGAATTAAAAATAAATTTAATCCCTGAAGTTCTCTCCCTCTCATACTTGTTATCTTATCTTGTTGAAGGGACAAGATTGAGATCTAATCCGTGAAGTTCTCTCGCTCTTATACTTGTAGTTATCTCATCTTGTTGAAGGGACAAGATTGATATGTGGGCTTCCCCATCTCGTGAGGGCTAATTTGAGAGTAGTTGTTGACTTTTCTGTACAATAACATACGATATCTTGAGAGCTCAGAAAAACAAACCATCTTTGCTACGGGCGACCAAACATCTCCATGTGACAATTTATTTAAGAATAAATAAATGTTACAATATTATTAATGATATTTCGTGCGTGGCCGTGTGAGGTTTCCAGAGATATCCTATTGATGTTAACATCACGTACGTAATTAATACTACCCTCTTTTCTCACTTGCTTGTTAAGAGTTTACGGTGATCTCTAAATTTAGAAGTTCGAACTTTGTTTGACAAGATGCTGCAAGCCTAGCTTCTAACCTTCAATTTGTTGTAGGAGTTTATGCAAGCACAAATTAACAATTAGTGTACCCTTTTAAATTTCTTCTTTTTCTTTTTAGAAAGGAATGGGTGCATGCTTTTGTAATTTCAAATTATGCTCAGTCAATTGAAATGAAATTAACCTTTAGATAATTGTTCTAAATACGCGTATAAAGTGCACTATATATATATGAGTAGGCAGCTTTTCTTTGTAATTCTCAATATTCTATTTGATTGATAATAAACTGAAGGAGTTAACAACCTTAATAAATTTCTTTAAGACCGAGGTCCCCAGTTAAGTTAATTTGTCAACCTAATTGTCTAATCCACTCTCTTTAATTACAAGACTAATGTTTTGCTTGACCTAAGATTAATTATGATTTAAGTTTTAGTTGCTGGAGTTCATGAGCAATAGTCCACTTCTTGAATATTCCTTTGACTTTTAGGTATTATTGGTGCTTTCTAAATTAGTTTTTGTTTAAAAAACATTAAAATGATGTTTTTTTTTTAATTATACTTGATGATTTTAACATGTTAATGTTAAAAATTAAAAAAATATTTTAATATATTTTCAATTAAAAAATAATTTTAAAAATTGCATGGACTCCTTTACCAATCAGACATATCCTCTAAAATTCTCTATTTGGCCTTGGATTTAAAAATTACTTTAAAACATTAAAATGATGGTTTTTCTCTACATCAGGTTTTATAAGTAAAACTTTTAATGTTGATTTGTTGTAATTTCTTGTTTATTTGTATTGATTGTTAACCTTATTTTAATTGTATAAAAAGAGAAAAGAATTAGAATTTATAATTTGTAAATTTTGTTATATTGGTGTTTTTTTTGTGACATCTTTTTATTTAGTTTGGATTTAATTTGGCTTCTCTCGTAACTATCACAACATTTGAGATTTTCACAATTTATTTCTTTAAATTTCAATCAATTAATATATTATACTAGAGTTATTAAGAATATTTTCTTGATTTTATTTTTAAAACATTTATTGCATGAATTTTAACCATTTATTTTTGTTCTTATGTCACATAGCTTTATTAAAGTATTATGGATCTCTTCAATTAGTAACCAACATATAATTATAAAGAAAATATTTAATGAAAGCTTGATAAGGTCTGGTGAGCCTCATTAACTATGACTTATATAAAGGTTTTTGAATAACTTGTTTGGTAATAATATTATCATCATCATTAATTAACTTAAGATCATTGATACGATCTATATTGAAGCTCTATTCAACCCAACCAAGTTAATAATGTTAATGTTCTTGATCCAATCAAATAAGTCTAGATTCAGTTTGGTGGAAGGCTTATTAAGATTGCATAATGATTATAGATATATAATATTATATTTAAAATATTAATATTATTTATATATATAGTTACATTTTATAAAATAAACCATATATAAATATATGATATAATGATTTTTTTTTCAATATTACATTTTTTATATCTTTTTTTTTTTGTAAGCGGTGAAATAATTATATTTAATGTTCTATATATATTTAAATAAACTTAAAAAATATTAATAAATGATTTTTCAACTTATTTATCATGACATAATTAAATATTAAAAAAAATAATTTATTTTTTATAATATTATTAAATATCAAAAAATAATTTATTTTTTTAGAAATTACTTAAAAAAAAACTATTTTTCAGATTCGATACACCTACATTATTTAATTCAACCGTGCGGAATGAATAGCTATGTATCTCAAAGTCGCTGTGAAAGTTACATCTCGATTCAAATCAAAGCTTGAATATAGACTGTTGAAGTTGCCTCTTCTCTCTCTCGAGTTTTCTCCCCCTTTTTTTTCCTCTGTATCTTTGTTGCTGCCACCGACCCTAATTGCAGCTTGCCTCTTTATTTCTATTTGTATGGTGGTGGTCCCTCATTTCTTTTTTTCTTGTTTATTATAGATATCCAGCCAGTTTATACAT